CTAGTAAGTGGAACTATTTGAAAGCGGTTTATTGAACTGGAACCAATTGCAAGTGGAACCACTGCAAAGTAATTTATGGAACTGCTACCACTTACAAGGGGAACCACTTGCAAGTGGTTCCAGTTCCATAAACCACTTGGAAGTAGTTTTTAGAACTGGCACCATTTCAAAGTGGGACCATTTGCAAGTGGTTCCAGTTCGATAACACACTTAGAGGTGGGTCCACTTTGGATTTTCAACTGGGGTTTCCGGAAACACGCGATTTCTCGGCGATTATGGTCATGCAAAAATAGTACCCGATTCGTACCTCCGATGTTTGAAAACTATGAAACCCAAAAACCAAGAACCCTACTCATTCTCAGCTTGACTCAAATCATTCTTGCTCCATATTTTTTTATTACAACATCTTATGCGCATGAAAAGACTCAAATGTTGGCAAACGCTAATAAAATATTTATGATAGAATTTTGAGTTTTGTAAAGGAGTCATTTAAAATAATACATTTAATATAGGTGTAATCTAATTCAGTCACGAACCAAAAGTTTACGATATTTATTCTTATTCTCTGCCCCAAAGAAAAGTGTGGGCGTGCATATCTTTGATTGGCGATTGAGGTGTGCATATACGCGAGCGACTATAACTTTATATTTCTTTTTTTTTTGCAGCGGAGCTGTTAAGGGCTAGGTTCCCAGGATCGTGTCCGGTATGTCGACATAAACCTGCCTGGACAGCTACCGCCATCAATAAGCGACGGCGGCAAGCACACAACCAGTATGGTTTCCGCCGTCGCTCGTAGATGGCGGCAACCTTTCCAGCTATAATAGAAGAATGGATAATTGGGCGGGTTGGTGGGAATTCATCGTAGAAAACAGCGCGAAAACAGACGGCGACGAAGAAGCACACAGTGTATCGAGTACAGCTCCGCTGGTCTTCCTTCTTCACGAGAGTGGAAAGGCTGAACAATTTTTTCGTACATAGTTCTAGAAATTTATCACCGAGTATTTTCTAGAAACGTTGTTTAAGCATATGAAAAGGGGGATCGTGTTCCCATTTGCGGCTTAACAATACCTCTACAGATTGTAATAATATGCCCCACCCTCCCATGTATGTACACCTTTCGGTATGAGCGTTAGGTAGTTCTGCTTTTTGCGTAAATATCATGATCAGTTTTAAGGGCGTCAATCGAGGGACCGTTCTCGCACGTGCGGTTGTCAGCTTCCATTTTGTACTAGGGGACAACTTTTTTTGTGGCAATCAAGCAAAAGGTATCGCTATAGACCCTTTTACTTTTTACATGTAAAAACCGATGCTTGCGTCCAAGCGACTTTCGTTCGACCCGTTTTTGCAAGCCTGTACAGCTGGCTTATGTCATCAGTGCTAGAAAACCATAGATGCTACACAGACAACAAAGTTGGAGATTTAGCTAGGGCTTTCGACTGTACGATTTGGTGTCTTGGAAGCGACAAGTTGGTTTACAAAAATATCTGAAACATTTTGACAGATCTTGGGCTTTTTGGGTTTTTTGGCGTTAGCCTGGAGAAGTTGGTGAAAAAAATGCTTCAGTTGCGTTTCAAGCAGCGGATTTGTTCTTTCTTTATATGAACCGGACGTCAAAGACTGGAGCTCCACCTTGTGGCGTTCCCAAAGAGAAGGGTTTACACACATGCCCTTGCGCACTTTCAGCGCCATAAAAGCTGTGCACGAGGTATCTTCGCTTCTTCTGATATGCCAGAAAACGTTGTGTCCGAGTATAGCCAACCACGAAATAGTGCTGCCATGTCTGAGCTAAATTGACGGACGAATTTCTCTTGATATGCAGTCAAACTATGGGCACATGAGCTCTTGCTAATTTTGAGTGCCCTAAAGCTCTTTGATAAAATTCACATTTCGCGCTTTTTCCAAGTTCCGACAACCATTGTCGTAAGAACGCTCAAAACACTTGGTTCGAGGTAGTGCTTCGCCGCCATTTGCTTCCAAGGGTCGCCGATTTCAGTACTGCGTCGAAATTTGTTTCCAAGATCTGTACAAAGCGCCGACTTAGGGATTTTCTGTAAGCTCATGCTACTTGCAAGTCAAATACATCAAGCGGCTTTGTATCGTCTACAGTCAATGTATAAAATGCGAAGTATTCATTGACACTTGTATTGCCTATAGAAGCAGTGCACGCTCACCCTTTACTTTTGATACGCCACAGAAAGTTGTGCAAGATTTCAGAAGGCTATAGTTTAACGTGAAGGGACGATGCACGCATGAGTGCGAGTTGCGATCTATGTCCAAGCCTTGGTTAATCCTCTCTTTGAGTAAATACCAAAAAACGTTCGCAAACAACAGAAATGAAACAGATCGCTTCCACCTCAGCTCGAAGTCGGTCACAATACAAAGTTTCAAGGGACCGTTCACACCTCCGCTCGTTCAAGCGTATACGATCGCCAACCGACGTGCCAGAAATGCATCCTCGCTTCGATCACAACAATGTGATTCCGCTCGCAAAAAATGAAGGAAGTGGCTGGAAAAGTGAATAAAATGAAGGGCTGTTGCGTTCTCACGGATTGGTACGTAGAGGTTCTGCTAAGAAAGATTCAGCTAAAAAAAAAAAAAAAATAAAGGAAAATCACAACGTTCTGCTCCTATCTCCGCCAAAGTAGTTTATATACTACCTCCACACACCGCCCAAAATTCGTCGGCCATTACAAGCTGCATCAGGTTTTCCTGGCTCTGTTCTCCTGAAACTGCCCGCCTGTTGCCCGTTCACTCACAACGCTTACTGTATTTTTTTATATTTTTCTTAATTTAGTAAATTCATTTATGCTTGTTTATTCGGATTCAAGAGAAGAGCATGCAAATGAGCGACGGAACCCCTTTGCACAAACTGCTTCCCTCGAACACGCTATCTGCTTCAAACAACAATTGCAACCTGGGCCGTACCTAACTGGACAAGCAATAGACAACGCCACTCCCTGATATTTCAGATGCTAGACTTTATGTCTCACTAACGTGGCGGACACCGAGTTTTGTCTGGTGAAATAAAAAAATAAAATAAAAAACTGCTCTTGAAAGTCTCTTGGAGGCTTCCACAGCACCGTCTGTACGCACGCATGGTTTCGGTGTGTGTATTGGTGACGAATCGGTAAAGAAGAATGTCAACGGCTTTTACTAAAAAAGGGTAGTGAAATGTCCGAAAAGGTTTATGTGCATGTCTTGTTTGAAACCCTGCTCTTGTTGGTATTTTTTGTATAACCCACGTGGATTTATTTAATCCTCGGAATTCATCTACAAGCGTAAAAATATAATTTTGGTTTCCCAGAGACCTTCAGCCTCAATTCTTCAAATACTTCGGAATTGTTTTGTTTTCTTTGCACTATGGTCACGTAGATTGGACTTTAAAAATTAAAGTCAGGGCGTCTGATATCGGTTCTACTGCGGCGCCATGACGACGTCACGCTTTCAAGTTAACGGATGACATCATATATCTGAAACGCTGTTCAGATAATTGTAAGATGGCCGACCTTTTCGTCCCCTAGCTCCGCGTAATACACCGCGGTCGCCTTTTAGGTTTTGAACCGTACGCCGGCTTAGTGCGCTCTTTGCGCTACCATGGGTTTTGCTAAATAGTGGGGTTTTTGGGAACCGTTTCCAACTTCGATCGGTAGCGCCGTGTCCCGACACGAGCGTCACCTGTCGAGCCGCAAATGCGGCAAATGCACAGCGCGTCGCTCGATAAAATGTCCTGTTTCGCTCGCAGAAGAAATATTCAAATGCTGCAAATACAAACAAAATGAGTCGCCTTTGCGTACTTGAGGAGCGGCATATCCAGGTAGTGCGAAGGAAGATGTGGTAAATCAAAACTAAAAGAAAGTCATAAAGTCTTAGGCGCACTCGAAAATTCTGCGTCTTTCGTAAATATCTCAACTCTGATGTGTTAGTAACCGAAAAGTCTGGCGGGTTCTTCTGTCTACTGACTTTGCATAGTTTTGAGCTCGTATCCTCTCTTGGGAATTTTTCTTATTGCTTCACTTTGTTATATTATAATTATGACAAACAAGCACGTACACCTCCATATTCCGCAATGAATGCAATCTTCGGAACGACGAGCACCGCCGTTGGCATGTTTACCAAACGATATAAAACACGGTTGTCGGACGATGGGGAAGAAAGGGGGTGCGGTTTCTGCATTTCTTTGTGTGATTACTAACTAGCCGCTAGACTAATCTTTTCTAATCCTAAACGGCGACGTAAAAAGGAGTGCTTACTTCCTTCTTTCCACTTGCGGGAAAAACGCCGAAAAAATCAAGGAGAGTGGAGAGTTAGCTTCCTTCTTTCTGCTTGTTGGCCGGCCTTTAAGGGGTATATCTTACAGAAATGAGAAAGACATCAAAATAAAATAAACACCGCTGCTATATTGTTTGAAGCATAAGTTCAAAAGTAACTTTCACGAACAATGATCTGCCATGGTCGTTTTGGCATTTCATGTAAGAAGATTCTTTGCTAATACATATTGTGTTTTAATATCACTGTTGATAACACGCCATCGTCATGCACACACAGTCGGGAAGGCAATAATCCTTTTTTTATTATTTAAATAAAGACGCAATAGAAACTGCGTTTCCCGTTTCATGCACAAAGTTCACATGCGTTACTAAATATCTGCTATAGGGGGAGCAGGAGGGGTTCGTGCTATTGACATTTTGCAACAGCTATGCATGGGCGCCGCCATACCCGACCTTCACTGTTTGTTTCCTCTTAATACGTTTACTTCACTACATCATGACCAGAGCAGGGCAGGTTATTGCCATTTTAGATTTCACTGTGACCTCCTCCCCAGTAATGACCTTTTTGCAAGCTCGCCAACGCCCGTTTCACTGGCTCCGCCTCCGGGTAAGTCAAGACAATGTCAGTAATGGCGGCTGTAATCTGCCACGTGTGGAAAGCGTCTATAAAACGAGGCCAAGATTGGTTTTCGGATAAACTGTTTTTCCGATCCGAACAGCAAAGAGACGGCGATGAAGACACTGTGCACGGCGCTTGCTTTGATCGTCGTCATAACGGCACTGCTGGCAGAGGTCACTGTTTCATTTGAGGTAAGTTATACTCTTGAAAATATTTGCAGAAACCGTTTATTTCTGTTTAAATCCAGCACATCTTTATACAAATGGTGGTCGCAAAGTGACCTTTTAAACGTTGATTATATAGACATTTACACACAAAAAATATTCCCGGACACACACACCAAGTTTTCCTGGTTCGCCCAATCTTCTTTGGTAACCCTTTACTTGGCTTGAATAGTTGGATTTTAAGTGGCCTGGTTCCAATAAAGAAGCAAACAGCCACTATTTATCGCAAATAAGCCGGTATACGCACCACTGGCAACTGATCCGACGCCTTATTGCCACAAACTGGCCGTACCGCTGCAACATGCCATACTACAAATTTTTTCTTGGGGCATACAAAGCCTGCTATGCCATGTTATCGACGAACAAAAGGCTCATGTTTTCCACCTTGACACTCAAATTTTGTTGATAGTTTAATGCACACAAGGCCACGACTCTCCCTCATTTTTCGAAGACTTGGTGAAATACATTTAGCCGCAGAGACTGGAATGCAATGTACCATATTGATTGTACCACAAGGAACCCGCTCTATTATTGGGATATAAAGCAAAAGTCCTAAATTTTTACCAGGCCACACTGTAACACAGAACTCATGCGTGTGGATTTTTCATTTTATCCTTTGCAGGAGCAGCGCCCAGTGTGGCCCCCTTTTTTTCGACCTCGACCTCCTGGAGCCGTGGGTGAGCCGTGCTCCATCGGCTCCGATTGCAAGCGTGGCACGTGCTGTTTGCGATCAAGTTTCAATCATTCGCAGACCTGCCAAAATTTAGGGCTATACGGTCAAGAGTGTTCGGATAGCCCAATAAAGGGTCAAGTTTTCGATGACCACTGTCCGTGCGAGCAAGGTAATTGCTGCGCACCCCCTTTCTGTGAGACCCGAATTTCATCGAAGTTGGGATCGACTTTAGAAAGGGCGTAATTTCATGTATCGTTCGTTTTAAGGAGGCTAAAATGGAAACATTTATGTTTTAATCAATCTTCCGGCGCTAAAATAATTATTGATTCTTATAATTGTTATATAAAGTAGAACAACTCAACATTAATTAGGGCGTTGTCTTCTGGAGTTGTGCAGCGTATTGTCGATGAATTCCCAACTACGAAAATCAAATTTCTGCAAGACGCCGTTACTATTTAGAGTTTAAATGCAAAGCGAAATAGGAATGAAGACACATCTGTAGAATGTATTTAGAAATAAACACCCCGAGCACATTCGTGTGGCAGTCGGGTTTTTATTTAGTCACTTAAATGGTTTGTTTAACTAAGTATCTTATCGGAAGCATCAAAGTGCAGCGGACATTCCGCTAAAAGAGTTTCTCTAAGCGGAACGTTAGCTGATGATTTGAGGCTTCCGAGTGAAAATAAATGCAGGAAGTCAACTAGTGGAATGGAAATATTATAATAAAAATCCGGAACAATATAGTAAAAACAAATTGTGTGACGACGGTCCAAGTAATTTTGGTTATATTATAATCGCGAGAGTTTAAGGAGGGTAACTCCATGGCCCGTTAAATCTTCGAACCTAAATCGCACAAAAACAAGCAAATTGTTTGGAAAGATTAGGATACATATGCTTGAGACTAAACAAATATTTGGTAGGCATATAAAATTTCTGATGGCATGTCAAATGGCTGTTCGGTTTCTCCAAGTTGTGCTCAATTTATAAGCCCAGTTATGACATCACACAATTTCTTTCAGATCTGCAATTTCGGGAACTTGTAGAGAACGTACATATATGTGTGTCAAGAAAGTGAATGCTTTAGTAAAAACAAAAACAAAAAAAAAACATATTCTGCTGATGAATAAGGCCTTCAGCAAATAAAGTAATGCTCAGGTGGTCACCTTGAAAAACAAATCTCACCGAAAAATAAAGCTTCATTACAACAATCTTGTTTCCTGGCTTATGTTTCTTGTATTTCTACTCGTTGGGTTCGTTGTTGATGTGCAAAAGAAAATACACCATCATTTTCAACACAAGTTTATAGTGAGCCTTTCAAAGAGCGAAATCAAAGAAGGGCGGCAAAAAGAACGGGTACCGGATCATGAAACACAAGTGAACCCTGTATACGCTTTCAGGATAAAATAAAATGAAAAAAAAAAAAGAAATAAACGAACGTTAGAGTTTGACTATTTGTAAAAATTGTTTTCATTTCTACTCCTGCACCTGTCTAATTAGAAGGTACTTCAATACCTTTGAATTTAGGGAGGAGGCCATTGAAACGATTTTAACGAAGTGGGAATCGGCAGCGCTCTACTTTCCTTTCGTTAATCTTAGCCCGTGTAAATAAGGCCACTTCGATTTCACCCAAAATGCTGAGATTCTACCGAGTAAAGGACCTTTTGCTAAATTATTTAAGCACCAAGGATGCTACGAGTGTAGTTGCACGCGCTGCACGTGTTGGCGTCTGAAGCAGAAGCTACTGCAAAGCAAAAGCCTAAAACAAATGGTATTTTGTACCGCCGCGTTAGTCAACGCTTCTTTTTTTACTTGAAATTATTTTACATGGTGGAGGCAACGCGTGCAGCGCATAGGCCTACATTCACAGCATTCTCGTTCATTCTTGGGTAATTTAGCAATAGGTCTATTGCAATGCCAAGAACAGAATATTGTCACGGGTGGTGAGTCGTGACCAATAAACAAGAAATAAACAGAAATAAATAAACGTTTAATGTGGCGAACTTGTGCCAAAAATAAAGAAGGAAACAGAAGAAAGCAGAGCGTCGCGGGCGTCGAAGTCGGCGTGTCAGCAGAATCGAGCGCTGGGGCGAGACTGACTCCGCTCGCCTTGCGGAATCCCTTATGTACCCTCGTGGCTTTCTGGATCGTTCGGCGTAGAAGGTTCGGCGCGTGGAACATTCTAACCTCGAATCAGCAAGACGGTTCTCGAATTCACCAGAACCTTACATTACAGTGTCAACAAAAATGCACCTCCGCGGTCAGGAATCGAACCCTGGCTTTCAGCGTGGGAAGCACGCGCGATAACCGTTAGGCCACGCGCGCGCTGCCTGCTTGGCCAGCTGCGCGCGCGGCAATATTTCCTCATCTACAGTACCGTCCAGAGGAACCCCGACATGACATCCACAAGGGTTGTGCAGGCTATTGCGACTGCAGTGAAATCGACGCCGCGTAGCGGCAACTCCGAAAAGCTCAGGAGAAGAGGTCGTGTCGACTGTGTCGTCTGTTATCGCTGCTTGGTTCTCGTAGGCTGCATAGAAACAAAAATCGTTTCCAGTAAATATTTTGATGCTTCCGCCGTGTCATTCCTACGCACTGACTAAACGAAGGCTTTCACCGACGAAAAATCGGTTTGCTTTTATACGTAAACCCGATTTTACGCTGCCCCCCCCCCCCCCCCCCCCCCCCCCCCCCATTGTTCGCTGGATTGACGAATTGTCAATGGACAATGCGCATAACCGAGGTGCCCCTAGCGGTTGAAGTGCATTCTGGAAAACAATTGTCAACGAGGATTTTAGTTCCGGTTTCTTCCATCGGACTGCGGCAAGCCAAAAGCGAACAGCTTGGACCTGCACCACACCCCTAAACGCAACGTACCTTGCCGAGTCTTCGTGGGTTGACCTACGTGTGCATGTGATGCAGTAAGTATAGTTCTCTTCTCGTGTTTTATGAGACGGTGACTGATTTAAGGCGAAGGCAAGCCACGTCGCTTCTGCGAAACTAAACCTGATGTCGATCGCCGTACATTGCTCGAAGCACCGACTCCTTGTGGGTGTTTGTTTTCCACTTCGACAAACTTCCAGGAGGGGCCCCAGAAAGATTAGCATCAGGCTTTTCCAATGTGCTGAAAAAGGTAGTGACACCCCACCCCCCCGGTTACCTTATTTTTATATTTTGCCAGGGAATCTAATATGGGTGTCACAACACTGCCAAGTAAATATTTTCCTACAAAGTCACATATATTTTTAGTACGGCCAAGCTCCCAACTGTTCGAAGCCGAAACCTAAACATGAGCATGAAAGTTCTTGGCCGCGACAAGCGGACAATGTGTACCGAGGAGGAAAGAGAAATGTGGAGGAAAGGGTTGCCGGAAATCAACAAAAAACACCAAACCACGTTCTTCTTTTTTTTACCCATTTCTCTGCCACGTAAAGCAGACGACGACGAGACATCTTGGGGTCCGGCAACAGGAAACATAATGTGACCAACATCTAGAGGATCTACGAAATCGCGCCTAATCCGCCCCCTAGTCGGGGCATGACATTGCCGCTGGAAACGTGATGCCAACGTTTTATCTGCTGCAGGTTAGTTATCTTAACAACGCTGCTAGTTCCCGTAACTAGCAGCGTTTCCTGTCAGTGTACCGGGGCAAAATATTGAGATTTGTTCAGGCGATGATATCCCATCTTTAGCTTTTTATCTCGGGGGATATTGAAGCTAACCCTGTCTCTGATATCTCCGAATACAAAACCATCCTTAAAACGCTCTCACGTGTTGAAGCAGGTTAAGCAAACATGCTTGCTGTAATTTTAGACTTGTAGCGTCATCAGCGAGCAGCTGACGACAGGGCCTTACTTCTTGACAACAGGGTTACTAACATCGAGCAAGATATCTCAGCAATAAAGAGCGTCTCTACTCTGCCACAATCACCTAACGACCCTGTTAACAACATCTCTTCGGAAAATTCAAAATTAAAAGGTATATGTGACGACGTCGAAAACCGCCTTGGTCGATCAAACCTGATTATTTTTTTTAATACATAACTCCTAGAGTGAGATATAGGCGAAATCGGAAGAACCGTTATCAAATTCTGCTTACAAAATCTTGGTCTTCATCTAGAATCTTCCAATCTCGATAGACTTCATCGCTTAGGTCGTTTCATCGAGAACAAAAAGCGCCCTATAATTGTAAAGTGGCTTCGTTTCAAAGATAAAGAATTCATCTTGGCGGCCGGTCGGTCTCTGAGAAATACTACTTTCGCCGTTCGAGAGGACTATTCTGAATCGTTTCGACTAGCGCCGGGTAAACTATTTCAGTTTGCAGAGCCTCAGAGCGTGCCCCTCGAAATTCGCTTTGATAAGCTTTATATACATTAGAAACGTTACGTGTACGACCGATTAATGACTCGGCAAGAGATCTTGAAGCATGACAATGTGGGAGTAAAAACAAACACCACCCGCCACCAAACTGCCGCCGGAGCAAGGGTAAGAAATCGCAGTCCCATCTAATTACTCTCGCCAATATTCGAATTTATTTACCAAAAGTTGAAATATGCAGCCTTCTCGGTGATTGCAACTCTGCAAGAATGATGAGTTGGGCTAGTTGGCTCATTGTATGGAAAGAAAAACGCCAAAAGCTGGCACAGAGTAAAAAAGACGACAAGGTGGACTCGCAACAGAATTTTTATTTGGAAAAACACTGTCTTAAATACGCGTTAAAACACCCCACGTCATTTTCTACGTGCCCACTCTTTATCTAAACATAAACGCTCTCTATCTGTCGGGGTCAAGGAATGTTCACTGATACACTTATCTGCCCCCTTTCTTTCTATAACATAAGTTTCATGGATTTCCCTGGTAGTCTTTTTTGCCGTGCAGCTCCTTCCCTGCAGCTGGCATCTCAAAGCACATTGGGAAGCTGAAAATATCTTCCGCCCCGGGCCCCGACGCCATTTGATGAAAGATACTCAAAAACACTACAATAATTTCTAGTTTCTCTTCTTTAGATAATCTTCAGCCAGTCACTGTCTAGTGAATGCGTTCTAGAAGACTGGAAAATAAGCGGGGTCACCCCTACCTACAAAAGCAGTGATCGATCCCATCCTGCTAACTATAGCCAATATCGCTCACATGAATTGCATCTAAATTCTTGGAGCACATCGTCCTCTATAACATTATGAATCACCTAAGCTGCAATAACTTATTTTTTTCAAAACCAGCTCGGCTTTCGCCACGGTTATTCCTGTCATACCCAACTGCCTGAATTTTCCCACGATCTGCACACTAATCTCGACTCACTTTCTCAAACAGATGCCACCTTTCTAGACTTTTGTAAAGCTTTCGATCGTGTTCCTCCCACCCGCCTCCTCTCTATACTATTCCGACTCACATTGATCTACTAATCGTATCTTGGATTGCAACCTTCTCTCGTCCGGAGTTCAATATACAGTCTTCAACTGATTAGAATCTAAACTCACCAATGCCTTGTACAGAGCTCCACAAGACAGTGTCCTAGGTCCTCTTCTTTTCTTGATATTTATTCACGATCCTCCGGATACAATCTCCTCTGACATATGCCTTTCCCTGATGACTATGTACTATATCGCCATATAAACTATTTTAACGAGCAGCTCCTTCCCCTGAGGGACCTCGACAATATAACGAAATGATGTGATCAATGGCTAATGTTACTAAACCACTCTTAGTGTAAGTTTCATCAGTATTTTTCCCGTAAGCGTTCCCGTAAGCGTTCACGGAAGCAGACTTAACCAACAAGAGGACCAGGCGATTGGATCACTCAACACAGGCAGATTGGCGGCAGCCTCTGACGTCTCCCGAGGAACAGATCGGGCTGGGCTTGCTCGCCCCACCTGTCGCCATCATACGACAACGTAAAACTCTGCACAACGGAGCGAGCCGTGGGACCGATACACCTACCCTTCCAGCCACAATATCTATGTGCCGTGCTCGACCTATTTGCTGAACATTGCTTGTCCTGTTATCCACCTCCTGCGATCCGCATCAGCCGCAAGCATGCTGTCTAAGTATTGTGTGCCCGCCGGAAGTACTATCCAGTCTT